CCCCCCTGCCAACACAAATTGCATCCGGTCCGAGAGGTAGGAGGAGAACCACCGTAAAACGGTGCCCCCCAACCCCAACCCCCCTAACCGGTGCAACAAGATACCATGGTCGATGGTATCAAAAGCCGCTGAGAGGTCTAACAGGACCAGGATAGAGGAACAGCCTCTATCCCGAGCCCTCCAGAGATCATCAACCAACACGACCAATGCCGTTTCCGTGCTGTGCCCAGGCCGGAAGCTGGACTGGCGCGAGTCTAGATAGACAGTTTCTTCCAGGTGCTGAGGGAGCTGTCGTGCCACCACACTCTCAACAACCTTCGCAAGAGGTTGCTTTTGCATAACACAGTCTAATAAACTGTAAATTTATTTATTTATTTAATAATGTATTATGATTGTTGTGGGAAAACTAGGAAGAGGAACTAGTATTAGGTATGTTCACTGCCTTGAAGTATTATAAAAATAATAAAGGGGGATATAAATGAATTAATAAAATGGTCACTGGGCTGAAAACTGTTATTCATTGCAATTCCATTGAATAGCACTAAATAAAAAATGCTAGTTTATACAGGTATTGATTTTACTGTACGTAACAACCCTTTTAGACTAGAGGTTCTTTATTTTATATTGCGTTCTACAATTGCTTTTACTATGTTATAATATTATTGTTTTTATCCTATGTCTGCATGCAGTTAGTTATTGGTACATGATAAATAATTTCAGTGTTAGGATTTCAGTCTGATCAAAATAACTGCTTTAATTCTTCATTTATTCTAGCCAATTGAGTAATGCAATTTTCAAGTTAAGTGAACGCAGAAGACATTTGAAACCACAAAGGAAAGAGAGACGAAAGGTTGCAGCCCAGGCAGTTTCAGATGGAGATGTTAAACTTCTTATCAGAATATTGAGAGCATATAATATTCCTGCAAGAAAGGCACCAGCATCTAAGTAGGTGCAACATTCGATGAATGTAAAGAAGGTTGTTTTTTTTAGTAATACAGTAAAATGTAGGCTGTTCATTATAGTAAAACAATAATACAGTAATCTACAATTGGGGCAGATTATCTTGCAGTGTGCACACTACAAGGTAATTTGCCACAATTGTACTGATTTTATAATTTAGTTCTTTTCCTCATGAATATTAAGAATAAATCCCACAATACTAGTAAAGTAACTTAAATACTACCAAGTGAAAGACAGAATAAGAAAGACACATTATTTATGCTAATGGAAAAATATTTGCAAGAAAATGTAATGAAAATCAAATATTAGTACAATTCTACAATAACATGTTAGCTCTTAAAAGAGCATATGGTACTATTTTGTTATGTTTTTATCAAAAATTCCACTGTGCTTTAAAATATTAGTTTAGTGTCTGGGTATATAGAAAAGTCTGCTGAAATTATTTATGGTAGCACAAAAGTGAAAAATTGAAGGCAAAAGGAGAAGGGGACAGCAGAGGATGAGATGGTTAAATAGTGTCATTGACACAACAAACATGAATTTGGGCAAATTCTGGGAAACAGGAGAGCCTAGCGTGCTATGGTCCATGGGGTCATGAAGAGTCAGGCACAACTTAGCAATTGAACAACAGTAACAAAGCATAAAAGTAACCAAGTGTAAACATGTTAGTTTGGAAAACGAAAGGTCGGTAGATTTTGAAACAAAGGGGATTTTTTTTTCTTGAAATAATGTTTCATTTGAAAAGCATGGCTGTCTTTCAGAATTACTGTTCTGGAAATAACTGGAATTACTAGAATATTGTATGTAATGAAACAGAATTTCTTATCAGAGATTTATAATATACTATATAACAATAATAGGCATTGGGCACATTTCAAGATGTTTTCTCTGGATCAGTCTCGTTAACTTTAGTGGAATGCTATTATGCTAAACTTATACACAAGCAGAAGCAGTATTATTTCCAAACAGTCAAACACAAATAATTATCAATTTTGAGAACCTTGGCTTGAATAAACTTTTCATTTCATTTCCTACAGTGCTACTAGCCCATATTTTACTTATCCCCACATTATTCAACTGATTCCTCATTTATCTTCCCCTGAATTACTCATTATCATACAATTTCTCTAAAGCTGTAGTATTCAAATTGTCATCTCATAACTACACATGGTCCTCACATCCTTTTTTTTCAATTTCCACAACACTTTCTGAATATGAAACTTAATTTCAGAAGCTCCCTGTTATTTTGAAATAAGAACACATAGCACTTACTATACTACTGTCCGGGTACCACCTCCTTTGCACTAATAGAGGAATGAATGAATGAATGAATGAATGAATGAGCAAACCTATTTATGCTCACTTTTCTTTTCTATACTGTCTATATTATTTTGGCAGATATGTCTGGTTGCACCCAGCAACCTCCTCTAAACAATATTCTATATGTTGTCCCACATACAGGTTCTGTGCTAGAGCCAAACTTCATTCAGAAAACTTCTATAATTTGTACAGGAACCCTATCTGCACACTCAAGGAGAATATTCCTTCCTTTTTTTTCTAGACTAGAAAAAAAATGTCTATCAGATAATTTGGACATTAGTGCATTTACCAGCCCTGAATAAATGATCCTTATCCAATCTCTAATCATGAGAAAATATATGAAATAGAAGCATAAGAATGTAAATCATGTTACAATAAATGAAAATTTCTTCTGAATGAATATGTGACTTATTTCTCAGTTGCCTTGTTTACAGGGGAATATCTAGGTAATAGTTTGCATTTATATAACTCCTGTATATCCTGAAATTTCTATATGATTTATTGTTACAATGCATTAAGAGAGAAGCAAATTATAGTAGAAAATAACTTTTGATTGATAGCAATAGAAGCAGTCTATTAGCAATATTCATGTTTAGCAATAAAATGAAAGTTTTGCTGAGGTGATTCTTCTGATTAGACTTTTCTAAAAGTAATGTCATGCCAACTTATATTTTATTATGCCTCCCTACTGCATTGCCTTGTATTAGCAAATTTGAGTTACAACTTTTACCCAGATTTTCTTTAGATTAACAGTCAACCTACTATTATGCATCAATAGACAGGGAATTGTGCTGCATTTTAATGAGAAAAATTGGTCGGAACATATATAATATTTTCCTTTAATATTCTTAGGGTTGCAGTTACTTATTCACCATCTTACTTACCAAATCGTATGTCCCGAGGCAGACATATTCCATTAGGTAATTCAGCCTATGCTGCCAATCTTCTCTCTGAGGTAATTATGATTTTTTTCCTTTTAAAATATGTACCATTTTTCTGTGTATGTATATAAACATTTTCATAAACTTTGCAGAAAGCAATAATAAATCTATATGGCAGTGTGGCAGCAGTGTGGAAGACCATTCTATTTTGAGGAGTTTCATGACATGTTTTGATTTCATATTAAGAAAAGTCTAAAAGTTTAGAGCTCACTCTGAGCTAAGCTGCTTGTTTCTCATTCTCGTTTGCTAAATAAAGAAGGGGGGGGGGGAAATCTTACAAAACTTTTCTTGATCCTAGAGTCATATGCCACATTGTCAAGTTCAGGGCTTGCAGACTCATGACCATAAAAACAGGGCCATGAAGTCATGATGACAGGTTTTAATAAAAACCCCAGTACTGGCCTTTAACCTAGGAGCTACTACACAGAATCTAGTACTGGCACTGTGGAAATTAACTCCAGTTGGAGTATCTCTGCTGTTGTTATTAAGAAGCTCCTGACAGCTTGTAAGAGATTTGGATACCTTCTTGCTTGTTATGTATGATTTCTATCTTATGCTTTTAAATCCGTTTACTTGAATTAATTCTAAAGCTTAAACTTTCTTTTTTTGCTGATATGTTTGTTGTCTCTGTTTGTAAAAGAACCAATTGCCTGGACATCTTTTACCTTGACACATGGCAAAACAGCTAGTTGGTTTAAAATATTAATTTGAATAAATAAAGACCCTTTAATTTATCCTAACCCTTTTCTGTTTTCAGCAAAAATATAACATCAAGGAATATCCTTAACTGGATAGTATTTATTAAGGCCATCTCACCAGAAGATATGAAGTCAATTCCTTTACAGGTCTTAAGAAAATGCAAAATGTAAAAGACTGTAGAAAAAAATAAAATTTGTGGTTATAAAATTTGCAATTTGGACCTGGATTAATGAAATCATTAGGGAACTTTAAAAAATATATTTTAACATGGATAAAGTAACAGTGCTTTTATAGCAACACCAGGATGAACTTTTATTCTTTTCTGATTTTCTATATAAAACATATGGCTATAATATTTACTCAAGTCTGGGTGCCAGAATCCTGGACTACCTACAAAGCACTTGTATGAATTTTTATGTATGTTTAATTTTTTCTATTTTATCTATATTAATATTTGCATACAGGCTTTAATGATTATTTAAATGTTATGGGCCCTTCAGGTACTTTCTAGTTGCCTTTTTGAACTGAATTGTAGTTTATTATTTATTGATTTTTGATATTGTATTTTATTGTCTTATACTGCATATAATTGTATGTGCATGAAAAATGAAATTACTATAAATAATAATAATTTATGGGGAAAAGCACTGAAAAGATCTGAAAATTTTGATATGGCCAGACCAAAGTAGCAAGGAAATCTGAGTACTTATCCCTATATTAAAAGAGAAACTATTCACTTTATAATTGAACTGTGAGAGTTTAAGGAAAACTTAAACGGTCAAAGTGAAAATGAATTTGATGAATCAAAAATAAATTTAGATGAGAAGAAGAACCCTTGAATGCTTATAATATAATACACTACTTGGGGCATGCCTTGATTAGAAATTAGAGGCTGTGGTTCTCATGGGTGACTTTGGACCAATCACTCTCTCTCTCTGACTTAACTCCCCCTCTTCAAAAAGTTATTGTTATGATGAGAATAGGAACAGAAGTATTATGTGAATTCCAGAAGCCATGTTTTACATGCTCTCCCTACCTTGTTATCTAGAATACCTATTGCAATGTTAAAGATGCTCAAGATATTTTACAACTTGTCTCTCTCTGTTAGGACAATATTTATCTGAAAACAGAACTGGACTGGGTTTAAGTTTCTCTCTCTCTCTCTCTCTCTCTCTCTCTCTCTCTCTCTCTCTCTCTCTCTCTCTCTCTCTCTCTCTCTCTCTCTCTCTGTGTGTGAGTGTGTAAAGAAAACAAAAGAAGGCTTGACTTCAGAAATGGACAGATCATATCCATGGTTATGGAGAAAAAATTCCTCCAATACATTCTCCAGTATAAGAGGCAGTGACTTAGAATATTGGTTATTGCTTCATTGTAAATCCTTCTCCCTCCTCCTTCCCAGTTAGGCTGTGAGTGAACTCTGTTTAAGAGGTTGGAAAGAACACCAGAAACTGCACTTTGCATTCTATCTGTACCTTACCTATTTTGCGAATTGTTTTAGCATAAGTAGAAACAGAATAGAAATAATAACTGGAGTGCATCTTGTACTGTCCACAGTGAGAAGAGAAAGAGGTTATTTAACTTTAATAACTGTTCTTCCTTTCCATTTTAATATGGTGAAACATTTGCTCTGTTTTAGGTGACTGTGCATCCTTTTGTAGAAGTTACATTTCAGAAAACAGTTTATCAGACTAGCACTGCAGATGGCTCTCATCCATGCTGGAATGAAGAACTTGAAGTTGACTTTAAGTGAGTTAATATTTCAATTTTAATAAAGTTTGTTTTAGTAAGATGAATGTAGCATTTAAATTATTCAGTAAAAATTCCATGTCTCCTGTGTCCAAATACTTCTTGCACTGCAGTTTGTTCCATTTTCTTAAGACATTGGACCTCAGTTGTACATTATCTACATATAATGGAAGATGATCCCAAAGCAATGAGGGGTTTGCTTTTTAACAGATCATTCAGGGAACAGTATATCCATTATATTTGAATGTCTGGATAAATCTAAACTTGTATCATTGGCATCAGTTTATTATTGATTCAAGATTATGTTTGTTAAATTGAAATTTTATTGCAAATGATGCCACTTAGTCAACTTTATAATTATGCAAATGATTTAAATTCACACAAATGTTAAGTTCAAAATTAACAGATATGAATAGTCCATTAAATGTATGTAATGTAAATGTTTATGTATGAGACTTAATATTTTCTAAATCTAGACATCATTTTAGAGTTTTACTGATCAAATGGAAACGTGTATGCAATTGTATAGAAGATTCACAGATTCTATACAGCACAGTATATAGTTTAAATAGCATTATTATTTAATACATGATTATTTTAATATTATTTTTTAATTTGTATATGTTTAAAGTAGAAAAAACATAACTCTTCTTAATTTCATTTAAAATATTTGTTCTTTGTTTCAGCTCTCCAGGACATGATTATACCTTTCTAGGTCTATCTAAAATAAAAGACAACATAAATATTAACATTTTTGATGAATTTGTGATTGAAAAGCATGAGGTAAATTGTGTAAAAAAAAGAATAAGTTTTTAAATAAGGAATTATAGATTGATCTGTAAATATGTGTAAGAAATCAGAATCAATATTTTTTTCATTTTGATTAAAGAATAGAAAGTTACCATTAAGTCCAAAATATAATTGTAATATGTCTTATATTGTTTAAGAAAAAAGGATGTTATGCATAAATGCTGTTCACATGCTCCTGCTCATTTTGTTCCTTGATGTATTTCTTAAACTTTGATTGGTATACCTACTGATGGAGCATACTGACTTGGCCAATATGATCCACTCTTGTCACTTCCAGCTAGATTATTTTAATATTATATATGAGATTACTCTTAAAGACCATTCAGAAGCTGCAGTTGGAGATACTGTATTTTTAAAACGCATGTACGCTGTCTTGCATTCTCTCTCTTGCACATAGATACATGCATTAATCTAAATACAAAAGATTAATTCAAGTTATATATTTAACTAGGATGCCTGCCCAAATAGTTGCAGTGGTCATTCTTACATAAGAAAAAACTGGCTTGGATCAATTGTATTTCCTTTCTCTGCTCTACTTGAACAATCTAAGGTAATAAGAAACAAGAAATATGGTTTTAAGCATGTCAGAATAATCCCTGTAATGCAGCCATCCCTTCAGATGTTTACTGTGACTTTATTATATGTATTTTTAAACTGTATGTGTTCTCAGATTTGTGGAACATTTCAAATAGATATGCCACCTGTTGTACTTGGATATACTTGGAGTAAGACATATGTATCCCCTAAAGAAGAATGTTTGGGGCAGAACCTGAAAGAATATAGCTTTTTAACCATCTTTGCCACTATTGAACCTCAGTTATCCTCTGCTGAAAATAATTTAGAACTGGATACGGTAGGCATTTGTAATTATCTCATCTGATATATAAGATAATTTCAATTTTTTCCCAATTATAAAGTGCAATATATAAATAGTCTTCAACTTATGACTGTAATTAAGCCCAGAATTATGGTTGTAAGGCATTTTGGTTGTAAGTTAAGCATATGTGACTGGGCCTGATTTACATTTTTCTGGCAGTCATTTAATGGACACTGTCATTGTTAAGCAAATCTATTTTACCCAGTGGCCATTTTTTTGCTGGCAACTGGAAGTTAATGGCAAAAAACATTGAGATGCTGCAAGCGGATATAAAGTGAATCGAGGACCCAAAATTTAACCATGTGACTGTGAGGGTGTGTCTGGCCATTGTATCTTTGAAATCAGGTTGTAGGTAGCTTTTGGGAAGGTCCATCATAACTTCAAATGATTGTTAAATGAGGGTTATAAGTTGAGGATTAATTTTGAGTATATATTTAGTTTGCAGATCATGAAGCAGAAACACTATTGCAAAGAGCATACATTTTTAAGCAAACATGGAAAGCGGTGTTTCCAAAGAGAAGAATAATGACCTCAGTTTTTAACAATCAGGGAAGGAATATTTTGGTAACTAAGTACATTAGCCCTTTGAATCCACCACAACTATTGCTAGATATATATCCAAAAGATCCCAATTCAACTTCTGTGAGTATGATTTATTATTATTATTACTACTCTTAAATATTTTTTTCTGATTTCGTTAAATATTTCTTTAAGACATTTCAAATTATTATTTCTGGTGTGCCAATTAGAACTTTTTCTTTATATTTCTTAATAAATGTAAAAATATAATCCAATGAATAAATAATTGATGCATATTATAATTCCACATAAAGCAAATCAGTTGGATTTGCTGATTTGATTTTCTGCTGATTGGATTTCATCTTATTTTCTAGGACCTGATATCAAGATTTGTATCTTTAATTCCTTGTATAGCAGATACAGTGGATGAAAATAATGATGTTGATGTGTGGATGACATCAGAGGTACTGCCAAATTTCATAGTAATACTACTCTGTTGATTTTTACAAATTGCTTTTATTTTTATGTAACTTGCACTGATAGCCATCTGAAGTATTTATATGGAAGTGTGGTATAAATGGGTATTTCTTATACTTTTTTCCCTTAGGATATCGTCCCACTTTTAAAAATTATGGAGTAGCCCAAAAAAGCTTTTGTTTCTATAGGTTATATTTATGAATAATTTACTGTATTAAAAGTTACAATTGATGCATTTGTTGCCACTACCTCTTCTCACAAGTGGCTTTTAATAATATGTTGTTTTTCAATATAAACTGGCAAATAATTTTGATTTTGCTAATTATTAATATTGTTAATTGTAATTTTGTTTGTTCTTTTCTGAATTTAACTCTGAGTTTGAGTAATCTGTTCTATTATAGAAAAACAGTTTGTTATAGCCAGAGTGGACCTAGGAAAAGAAAAAGATTATTGAGTGATGTGGTATTTATCATCTGGTGAAAGACTTAAATATCACTGCTTATCAGTTTACAAAAATAATTAACTTGAATTATAAAATACTACCGTGAATGTGTTTTCCTGCAGTGGGGAGGATATTCTTAGACATAGTTCTCACTTACTCTGATAGGTAATAATACACAAAAAGAAGTAGAAACTGACTCCCTAATACATTCTATTTCCAGATTTGTTTCTGTCTTACTCTGAGACAGGATGTCATATAGCTCACCATCTTTTTCTCTCATGTTTCATACAGTTACCACCCACTTTTATCTTGTCAGTATGCTTTTTATCTTTAAACCCATTTTTCTCTTTTGATGAAAAACAAGTTCTTTAAAACTTTGTCAGAAAAACCCAAGATTTCTTGCAAGTTCTTCAGAAGGTTTTCAGATGAGGAAGAATCCATCCAAACCCAGAAGAGGGGAAAGAAACGTAATTGGCTATGGAACCAAGTCTTCCAAACATTGGGACAATTTTACCATTTGAACATGAAGATCAAAAGACTATTTCTTTTTTCCCCCTCTCTGCTGGTAAGTTTTAATAGCAGAAAGCCAACATCTCTCCCCAGCAGAGGGTAGAGTTTCTGGAAATATAGCAAAGATAATCATCTGGACTTCACGCATCATTATAGGGGGCATATTAAAGTTCCTCTACACCAAACTTCAGATTAGAAAAATTACAATTAAAAACAAGGTTTCAAAATTTTCCTCACAAATCGCAAAATATTGTTATATTGTATTCTAGCAAATAATAATAATAATAATAATAATAATAGTAATAATAATAATAATAGTAATAATAATAATAATAATAATAATAATAATAATAATAATAATAATAATAATAATAAAAATAATAATAATAGTTGGAAGGGGCCTTGGAGGTCTTCTAGTCCAACCCCCTGCTCAGGCAGGAAACCTATACCATTTCAGACAAATGGCTGTCCAGTCTCTTCTTAAATACTTCCAGTGTTGGAGCATTCACAGCTTCTGGAGGCAGGTTGTTCCACTGATTAATTGTTCTAACTGTCAGAAAATTTCTCCTTAGTTCTAGGTTGCTTCTCTCTTTGGTTAGTTTCCATCCGTTGCTTCTTGTCCTGCCTTTAGGTGCTTTGGAGAATAGCTTGACTCCCTCTTCTTTGTGGCAACCCCTGAGATATTGGAACACTGGTAGTCCTTCTCTTCATTAAACTAGACATACCCAATTCCAGCAACCGTTCCTTATATGTTTTAGCCTCCAGTCCCCTGATCATCTTTGTTGATCTTCTCTGTACTCTTTCTGGAGTCTCAACATCTTTTTTACATCGTGGTAACCAAAACTGGATGCAGTATTCCAAGTGTGGCCACACTTGCTTTCTCATTGTTTGAATAGCTTTTTTCCTAGCACAAAATTCCTATCAAGTATTTTATTTCAGAAAAGAAATGGAATTTTAATCAATTGCTTGAAGTAATTCTTCTATCCATCCATTTCTGTTTTTTCTTGTTTTTCATTAAATACATCCAAATATTTCAAAATGTCTAACATATCTAACATGGTTCTAACATTATCTTTCGGCTCTTTTCCTCATGAATAAAATCTTGCAAGATTATTTTCAATCCTTCAAATTAAACCATAGTAAAAAAATTACAGTCATTATTTAATAATGATATTGACTGTAATTCCTTACTGAAATCAGATCTTGTCCCTCTTTAAGTATAACTGTTATATTAGCTCTTTCCAAGTTCATGGCAGCTTTCCTCTCTTTCCATGATTGCTCCCTGTAGAACATAATTCAACATATTTTGTAAAAGTTGTAAAAGTCCATCCTCAAAGTACTTATAATACAAACTTGATAGAGTATCTGATCCAAGTAGCTCCAGGTTTACTCTTTTTAATTGCTTCTGAAACTTTTATTATCATTATAGCTCCATATTTTGTCTTTGTTCTTCTGTTAATCTTGGGTAAGTTTTATTTTCTAAAATATTTGTTTATTTTTTCCATTGAAATATCATGTCTTTAGTAAGAATAAGAGTAATATATTGATAGATATTATTGTATAAATATTTTATGGAAACCTCATCTGTTTATAGTTTATAGTGTCTCTGTCTTGTAATTTCAATATCATTTCTTTTCACTTTCTCATCACAATTTATGAGCCAGCCATTTCCCTGGTTTATTTGCAAATCCAAAGTTTCTTTGCTTTGGATAGGTCAATTCTATGTCCATTGCTCTTATTGTTAACATAGACAATTTCATTCTTAATTATTCTTTGCTTTTTACATCATACAAAATATTTTGCACTTTCTCTTCTTAAATTCAGAAATATATTGTATCAAATAACTTCTAATATTTTACTTGCATCCCAAACTATTCTCAAATCAGTACATTTATTTAAATTATTTTCAAACAATCTTTTAATTTCTTTATGCAGTCCTCAACAATATCATTTTTCTGTAACACTTCATTTACTTTTATATATATATATATATAT